GCCTCTTCCCCCTCCCGGAGTCCGCGGTGAGGGGCGCCCGCCGCTTCGCCCCGAGCTGCTCGTCCGAGTCGCTGTTGTTGTTGTCACGTGTGTGAGCGCCCCCTGCTGTAGACGAACGATAGTCTTTCTGCTCCTCCAGGCTGGATTCGGAGCCTTCGCTCAGGTGGCAGGTGTCCCACGGCGGGTGAGGGTTATCGGACCGGCGCTTCCGGCCACGACGCTTGCGGGCCTGCCGTTTCAACAGGCAACCGACGGCCAGGGCGTGATCTCCACCGTCGCCAAACCCTCCACGGGCTTGTTCTGAACTCTCCTCCAGAGCCGACACCAGATCATGAACCAGCTCGTCCATCGTCCGCCGAAAGTGCCTGATGAGAATGAGTGATGCAAGTTGAATTAGGTGAAACATTCGGAAAAGACAAACACAAATGAGATGATAACTGGATTTTAAAACATAATTGTAAAGAAAATAGTTTCAAGTCAATTAAATATTTGAGAGCTTAACGGCATAAAAATTCCATGATTTTTTAATCATTGCCATATCATGTAATTGCCACGTAATGGTTTATTAATTTATATTTTTCTATTATAAATCAATATTATCTTGTCTATTTTTTTTCTAATTTATTCATTTTTGAGGGCTTTTTTGGGATTGTTACCAGGGCATGCACGAGCTCATCCATGAAAGTGCCTGATCAAAATGAGTGAAATTAGGTTAAAATTAAAAAAATTAAAACCCCCAGAGAAAAAAAAAATCCTTTTGTCCATAATGGATTTTATAGAGATTGTACTGATAGCAATTTAAATAGCAGAAAAAATATATTATAATATATATAAATATTCACATATTAAATGCCATGTCACATAATAATTTCTACTACTTTATTTTATTAATTTTATGATTTGTCAATTATTTATTTTAAGAATGTCCATGATTTTTATTAATGTATTTATTTTATTAATTTTTTCAGGCCCAGAAATCACAATTTTTACTGTTATTTCCAGGTTTTGAATGACTGGGAATTTTTAAAGTCAATATTTCAGGATTAAAATTTTCCACGTTTGGTGGTGATGACACCATACTATTACCTTCTTTATGACAGTGTCCATCCAAACACTATGATGATAGAAACACGGTGACATTGTTTAATAAAGGCTGGATTCATAATTAGTCACGATAATCAATGAATTGATCGACGATTTCAAGCTATGCCTTTAAAAAGCACACCACAGTATTAGCCCAATAATACAAAGTCCAGGATTTGTACCAGACGGTAATACCATGGTACTAGTTGTAATGAATTATTACTATATTCATGAACTGTGGTATAGAAGAATACTATTCTAAATTGTCAAAAGCTACATGATAACACAACGGCAGTTTATTGTGAGTGTGAGATCAGGTCAGAAATACACACATCATGATCGGCTCTAAAAAGACTGAAGGCAAAACACATGCAATCCCGCAGAGACACATACCAGCCGGTTCCCGCTTTACCGAAGCTCTTGATCTCGGCGGCGCGGAACATCAAACCCGCAGAACGCGACAAAAACTCACGGGAAAAGATCGAGGCCGCGCTCACATATCATAGCGCCACAACAACAACACCGCACCGGAAATGGACAACAGGGCATAAAAGACACGCATCCGGCGACGAAAACAGCGTATACTTCCAAAATAAAAGCCGAAGATAATACTGAATCGATAATAAATAAATAAAATAAATGGAGAAATCGACATGGGAAACTCGGTCAGAAGTCTCTCCGTTATTTTGGTTCATTATATATTTGTATTGTTTTTATTTATTAGGTTTTATAATATACATATTCAATATTCTGTCTTTTTGATGTTATTCTATCTAGTTATTCTACTTTCCTATCACAGTAATAATTCATTCTATTTAATCATAATTTGATTAAACTTAATATCTGCAAATAAATTAATATCTGCCCAAAGAAATTGTAATTTTTTTTTTGAAAAATCAAAGAAATTGGAAACTTCAGAATCTCATTAAAAACATTTTAATAAACACTTGTGCCTACATAAAACACGCACACACACACACTTTCCCCTTGTCGTTTTCCAATCCATTTTTAATTGTTTTTTCATTGTCGAATATGCATTGTATATACAACAAGTTACAATATAATTGAATGATGACATTTTAAGACAAATAAATAACACTAATGTAAACTAAAGAGATATATATATTTTTTATATTATACATTTTTATTGTTTTTCTTTATTTGGCTTATTATTTACATTATTAATATTCAATATCAATTTCAATATTCAACATTTTGCTGATTTGAAAGTCTTTTATATTCGACCCAGGATATTTTACTTCCCCATAACTTATCTATAATTTGATTAAGTTTAATATCTGCAATACGTTTTTAAACAAACAAATTGAAATGGAATCTTCAGAATCTACAAAAGACCCTTTTCCTTAATAGATTTACACTTGTAAATACAAAAACCCATGTTCCCTTTATTTACGTTTATTTTCGCTTGTCTTTTTCATTCTATCTTTATTTTTTCCTTATCAGTTTATTTTCTTTGAAAATTCATTTTGTTCTAATTCGAATGTGTCATTTTAATTTGTGTGTGTGTGTGTGTGTGTGTGTTTGGACTGTGAACTTGAGGGTCTCACATGAACTTGACCCTCTCACATTACCACAAACACACAGTTTACGCAGTAGCAGGTAAATATAGAAACACTCTGTCATGCCATCCATGAACAAGCTGAAACCCAGAACTGCTCTGATCCAGGTCATCTGCAATTATTTTTTTTTAACTTTTTTACTGATTTATTCTACAACATTTGCATATTTATAACTCTGCATCAGATTTAAACCGGTTCTGAGAAGATCTGTGATCACTGCGCTTGCCATGCAGAGAGAGGATGAGGAGGATGAGAATGAAACTGGAAGTGACCAGGAATTCAAAAGCAGAGAAGAAGCCATTGACTCCAGCTGGTCCTGGGTAACCTGGGTGTGTGTGTGTGTGTGTGTGTGTGTGTGTGTGTGTGTGTGTGTGTGTGTGTGTGTGTGTGTGTGTGTGTGTGTGTGTGTGTGTGTGTGTGTGTGTGTGTGTGTGTGTGTTTGGCAGCGTGTCTATAGCACCAGTTCAAAGTCTGGACACACCTAATAGTAAAGTCATCAGAACTAAAATAACACAAACAAAATTAAAATATATATATATTTTTTATTATTTATTAATGCATTCATTTTTTTTCAGGCATGGAAATAAATAAAAAAATTCTGTTATTTCCAGATTTTCTATGACTGTGGGAATTTTTTAAGTAAATAAATAAATGTCACTCTCAGGATCATATATTTTAGCTTCTTCAGAATTCGCCACACTTTGAGCAAATGTTGCACATGCATGCTGAACACTTGATGGTTTTCCTCCAATCTCTACTCCAACACTTGCATTAAAAAAGGTTTTGTTGAGTCAAGTACAAACAAAACAATACAGATTGTTTCAAAGCAGCTTCACAGTATTAACAGGAAAATAATTCAATGATGCAAACAGAGTTCATTTGCAGCTCTAAAAGAAAACAGTGTCATTGTTCAGCTGAAGTCAATTCAGTGATGACTATTATTGTGATTATATATGTGTAAATTAATAAATAAAGCATAGGATTAGGAACAAAATTTATATTAACATCAGGTGTGTCCAAACTATTCACTGGCATATTAATGATCTGACATACTGTACATAAAAAAAGCTGTAGTCGGTGTTGGCATTTTGGGCAATGAGAATCAGAGTGAGCATTGATTAATGTCTCTATAATGTGATCGGTAGTTTAGAGGTTTGATTGAATTAAAAAATTACCTGATTAAAAGAATAACCCATAACTGGCTGCTGTTGTTGATGCATTTACAAACTTGTCATTTTTCCTATTCTGCCTATAGTCACGTAAAGCATGTTGCAGGTTGTTGGCTCGCACTTCAAGGTGTTTAAATAAATGTAAAATGTTTTTTACACAATTTTGGTACTCGTCAAATATAAAAGATGAAAACCAGCTGAGACCCACTGAATAAGCAAAGTAACAAAGTAGGCAGATTGAAAAGATGCATGCATAAACAAAGCCAAAACTCAACTCAACTGGGCTGTTTTACCCATCAGACTGTGGTTAGTGGAGCAAGAACACGCGAGCGTGACTCAAAACCAATCTCTTGTTTCCTTTTTTTCCTCTCTCTCTGTCTGTCTGCTGTTCTCAACGTATGATCATAGCACTGAAAGAGTCTTGTTACATGCAAATCTCCTAATGTGGTCTGTGATGCACAGAAATTGTTGTAGACTATTTTATGGTTATCTTTCCACACATGCACAAATACAACTATATCTCTCTATTGGCTGTATAATGTTTAAACGGTCTGGCCTTGTAACATTATGCACTTGTATTTGTTAAGACAACAAAATATGGGAGCTTATGGGGCTTGTGTGACTTTAACTGTCACCTCTTAATCATATTATCATATTTCTGGCCTGTTTGACTGACTCCCATTTATTGCAGAAATGTACTGGAAAAGAGAGCTCAAAAGCCTTCAAGCTCCAAACATTTGACGCGTACAGACATTTAGATAGTTTATGAATGTATAATTTGCCTATAACAAAAGACAAAGATTAAAAAATATCTAGGCCTATTATGTTTTCATAAAATATAGCTACAAATATCCTTACATTTACATAAAATACATAGTTTATTAGCCCTTCCCAATTTTCTTTAAAATCCCTTTTCATTATTGTAGAAAGTACATTTTTTAACTTGCATTTATGTCAATCTTTCGACATGCAAAGTGCTAAAAACAGCAGACATCGAATGTCAGTGAAAACTGCTCACTGATTGGACAAGAGGATCACCTTACAGGAGCGACCAAAGCCCGTCTAGCGACTATGCGTCATGAATGCTGAGCGCTGATTGGTCAGAAGGATCACCTCACAGCTGTCACTCAAAGCGGTACCCGCAAGATCCCAAAAATAAAACAACTATCAGCGCCCGCCCACAACTTATCGGCTCTCTTTCAATTCCTTCTAACAGCCGGATAATTCAAAATATTCCTTTACTAAATTCGGTCTAATATCATGTGAAACGTGGGAGGCGACTTCCGAGCGTGAATAAATATAAAATTAACCTGATGAGAAGTCATTTTCACCGATTGGCTGATCGGCGTCTTTTCTCAGCAGGTTTTTTTTTTTTCAGCCTATGTGACGTCACTCACATCGATCCGCTAACACATGGAATATGAATGTATGACAGAGAGAATATGAACGCATGAATGTTACTGTGTTTGTCCTTCACTCTTCTGTAAACACGATGAGCTGAACGGAGCTTTACTGGAGGTGAGAGAGACTTTATACATACTGTCATCTAATTCATTCTGTTTATGTGTGTAATATGTCACCCTACATCAAGTTATTGATGTTTTGGGATGTTTTATGAAACTGAAATTGTGATGTTGACATTCTTAAGTGATGTCTGTAAACATTGTTTTCGTATTCACTCTGATTGCATAACTGATATAATGACAGCTGATGATGAGTCATTATTTTACTTTACACTTAAATTATATTTTATCACATTTATTACTGTACTGGTGGCTCATATCTGCTACAAGATATGATAACAAGCTACTAATTATTCTATAATATATATGTATTAAATAATAAACAAGTAGCCTACAAATAAATAATAAAACCATAATTGTATATTATAATTATAAAATAGTGTTATAATATTACTATAATGCTTGATGCTGTGTTTTTGTTATCTTCTTGTACAGCGACCTTGAGCTTGGGAAAGGCGCTTTATAGATAAAACGTATAATTAATTATTATTAAAATACAGAGGTGTAAAGTCCAGGGAACAGAAAGGAAAAGTCCTGCCATATGTTTATTCCACCCAAATTTCACAAATTAGTTCTCTCTCCTGGCCGAAAACTGTGCTAATTAGCAAATCTAGGTGTTTGGAACAAAATATTGAGAAGGATTTTTACTTTCTGAACCTGGACTTTACACTGTTAAAATATAATTCAGTAATATGAAATTATTTAATATAAATAACTGCTCTGTGCTGCTGAGGAGATTATAAGACAGATCATACTCTTTTTTTTTCTCTCTGTCTCTGTCCTCTGAGTCTGACCTTTTCGCATGTGAAGGATCATTTTGAGTAATGTGGCGAATTCTCAGCCTCGGGCTCAAATGGTTCACTTCTGGATTGACTCCACCTAGAGCTTCAGTGAGAAACTGATGGCTTTAAGGACCTCTTCCTCTCTGTATATTTCCGTAATAATCTGTTCTGTTAACTCAGCTGGCATGTCTGGGGCTGACATTATTCACTTATGGAGAAATATGAAACCAGGAGAAGTACAGCAGCGATAATCACACTGAGACTGTGTGTCTAGTACAGAACAGATTCTGACATCTGATCCTCCTGTGGCGTTTGACAGACATGTTCATTATTAGTGTCTGTAAGTGTGTATGTTTGTTATGATCAGATCATTGACCTTTGTGATCAGCTGATGACTAAACGTTTCATGTCGCCCAGAGAGTCTTTGATAAAAGGATCTTGTGTGTTTGATCAAGTATGGAAGTAACTGGTGACAGAATTCCTGCTTGTAAAGTGATAAACTCACAAGAGTTTCTGACAGAAAATCAATAATTTATTACTGCTAGTGAGGGTATCAAATTGACCAGAATGGAAAAACAACTGGATAGCAATTCCCCCAAAAAAGACGCGTTTGTGTCAAAAGTCACTTTGTTCGACTGACAAATCGACGGGATGTACAGAGAAATTAATATCATGAATCACGTCATTCATTAATTCAATTAAATGTACATTTATTTGTATAGAGAAAAGAAAAACAAATGGAAAATAGCGTTGCTGTCGCTATGAGATGCATTATGTGAATCTTTGGATAAAAAGATGTCTTTAATCTATATTTAAACTGGGAGAGTGAGTCTGAGCCCCGAACATTATCAGGAAGGCTATTCCAGAGTTTAGGAGATTAGGCTATTCCCTCCTTTAGTGGACTTAGATATCCTAGGTACTACCAAAAGACCAGAGTTTTGTGATCTTACAGAGAGTGATGGATTGTAAGGCGATAGAAGATCGGTTAAATACACAGGAGCTAACCCATTCAGGGCCTTATAGGTCAGTAGCAAGACTTTATAATTGATACAGAACTTGATGGGTAAATAGTGTAGAGATGATAAAATTGGGGTTATCTGATCGCATTTTCTTGACCTGGTAAGAACTCTAGCAGCTGCATTTTAGACTAATTGTAGATTGTTCATTGAGGATGCAGGACAACCAGCTAGTAATGCATTACTTACAGTAATCTAGTCTAGAGCTCATGAATTCATGAGCCTTTCTGCATCAGAAATGGTGGAACAGTGGAAACTAATTCTATATTTTCTAAAAATATTACCAAGGGGCTGCATGTATATTGAAAATAGCAGAGGGCCTAAAACAGACCCTTGAGGTACTCCATAATTTTTATATCTGACGTTAACGTAGATGGGGCCTGAATCTTGACTGAAATTTTTCATAGATATAAGGAAGGAGCACAATTGAGCTGACACAAATTTTTCTAGAATTCAAAAAAGTGTAAATGCATCGAAAAAACACCAGCATAGAAACACCTTTTACAAACCAATTCCAAATTTTTTATTAAATGCAATTAACAAATCATCTAATACCATTAAATATAAAGTGTATTTATAATATGTATTTGATTAAATTAGGGCTTGTTTTGTTTGTTTTATATAGAGGGTTTGGTTATTCAGACCAATAAGAGACTATTAATTACAATTCTTTCTTTTTATTATACAAATGTGTTTTTACATTTTTACAAATTTATAAAATTGCAGGTAAAAATCATGTAGACAGGGCTAGGCAACTCTGGCCCTCCGTATCCACTGTCCTTTAGCTTCAACCATGAACAAACACACCCGAACATGCATCTTCACTATTACTAGAAAGCTACAGGCAGGTGAGATTCACCATGGTTGAAACTCTGCAGGAAAGTGGATTTCGAGGGCCAGAGTTGCCCAGCCTTGATATAGACTTGTCTTGAACCCTATAGTTAATGGGTTCACAGAGATCATTGACATTTCAAAAACATCTGAAATGACGTAACAAAGCCTCATTTACTGAAATCGCATTACTTTGGCAGTTTGACAGGCGCTCCGAATCACTGGTTCAGAAAAAGATGATTCGCAAAGGTTTCAAAGCTTCACAAAGCAGTGTTTCGGAGCGCCTGTCAAACTGCCAAAGTGATGCGATTTCAGTAAATGAGGCTTTGTTACGTCATTTCAGATGTTTTTGAAATGACGTAACAAAGCCTCATTTACTGAAATCGCATCACTTTGGCAGTTTGACAGGCGCTCCGAATCACTGGTTCAGAAAAAGATGATTCGCAAAGGTTTCAAAGCTTCACAAAGCAGTGTTTCGAAAACGCCTTTCGAAAAAGCATTGCTATGTGATTGCTAGGATGTTTTGGGTGGTTGCATACTGGTTCATGGCAAAAACGTCCACCTTAAATGTCTATGACATTCTGTTCTCTTCTTCAATGTAATTCAGAAAATTGCACACTTCAAAGAGTGTGTTCCATATATAGTGACCATACTTGTACAGGTTCCATTAATGACATTTCTCCTCCTTTCTCCATGTAGGCTCAGACCATGAATTACGTGGGTCAGTTGGCAGGCCAGGTGTTCGTGCAGGTGAAGGAACTCTACAGGGGTCTGAATCCCGCCACGCTGTCCGGCTGCATCGATGTCATCGTTGTCCGACAGCCGGATGGAGCTCTGATCTGCTCTCCATTTCACGTGCGCTTTGGAAAGATGGGTGTCCTGAGATCACGAGAGAAAGTGGTGAGTGGTACCAGGATACATTTGAGATACCATATGTTGTCTGACCTCCCTATGATATCTGGTTGGTCCATAATGTGTTGACTTTATCTTCTCTCTTTCTGTCAATCAGGTGGACATTGAGATCAACGGGGAACCTGTGAATTTGCACATGAAGTTAGGCGAGAACGGAGAAGCGTTTTTTGTCAAGGAGACGAAAGACAATCAGGTGCAGAACAACAGAGAAACATGCAAACCCTCACCAATATTCAAGCTTGTTTCCTTTTTAAAGCTTTGGTCACACTAGACTTTGTGATCATTCACTTCTATTCATAGTAAGCCGGAGACCAGTAAATGCAAGCTCAAGTTTGGTGACCTCTGACCTGTGAATTCACATAGAGCAAAGATATTTGATCAGTAGAAGATCTATCAGAGAACCATAAACATAAAGCTGCATGGTTTTCAGTGCTGTAGGCTCTGAAGACGTTTTGGATGATCATGCTGTGATCTTAATCCAGCTTTCTAGAACTGAACTGTATTCTGGGACAGATCAGAGCAGTGATTCTAGAACAGAAAAGGAACACTTTTAGAATTTAGAAAATTCTAAAAAGTAACAGAACAGTTCTAGAACAGCACAATGATTTTAGAACGAAGCATTATTGTAGAATAGAAGAGCATTTTGGAACAGATTAGTGTTCTGTTGGGGTCATTTCGAAAGAAATACAGGAAGTAAATATAGGAAGTGTGGTAAGACCACTGTAAATGTGAAACTTGTTTTTGAGAATCAGAATTTGTGGTTCTGAGATCAGCTGAGGGAACATCTTATTTTCATCATTTCATCTCTATTGTTCTCATCTAATACTTCTGATTATTACACTGCACACTTTACATTCGCATTTAACAATATTATGTGACCTCATTCAGAGCCAAAACAAATGTATTATTGATGTCTGTTGATAGCTAACAGCTGAGCTTATAGTACACACTTGTTTGATCAGATCTCAGATTAACTTTCTTTTCTGATGATTCCCTACAGGAAGTGATTCCTTCTTACCTGGCCACATCTCCCATTCCGTCCGACGGGGGTTTTCTGATGGGCTCCTGCACTGAGAATGGAATGATTAAGAAGAGAAGAAAGAGGAGAAGGAAGTGCAGGTCGGAGGATGTGAAGAGGGAGGAGAGTGTGGAGTTCTCAGAGGAGGAACTGTTCAACATCGACATTAATGACAGCGAGCTGCCCGGTCAGAACAGGTCGGCTGATCTTTTTAAGCCTTATTAGAGCAAATACATAAATTACAAAATGTAGTAGTTACTATTTTAAGAATACCAACACCGGTATCTTATGTATGTTTCTATGTGTGTAGAGACCTGCCGAATGGAGGTTCAACCACTGGAAACAAGCAAAACACAACTTATGCTCGCTCAGATGGAGAGTTGACTCCTGTTCACAGGTAGAGCCCAAACACACACACACACACACACACACACTTAAATTGAGTTTTAAATCCCTCAAGTTAATTTAGGCATCACAACATTATCATGTACAGTATGAAAATTTTTAGTTTTGTTCAAGATTAGATTTAACAGTGTTATTAAATTATTAGTGCTAAAAATATATTTATAATATTGGCAGATAAAAAAAAAAAAAAAATCTATTAATTTAAAAAACATATTTCTGCATCATATATAAAAAAGATATGTACTATAAACATCCAAAAGTTTGGGGTCTGTACTATATATATACACTCACCGGCCACTTTATTAGGTACACCTGTCCAACTGCTCGTTAACACTTAATTTCTAAGCAGCCAATCACATGGCGGCAACTCAGTGCATTTAGGCATGTAGACATGGTCAAGACAATCTCCTGCAGTTCAAACCGAGCATCAGTATGGGGAAGAAAGTTGATTTGAGTGACTTTGAACGTGGCATGATTGTTGGTGCCAGAAGGGCTGGTCTGAGTATTTCAGAAACTGCTAGTCTACTGGGATTTTCACGCACAACCATCTCTAGGGTTTACAGAGAATGGTCCGAAAAAGAAAAAACATCCAGTGAGCGGCAGTTCTGTGGGCGGAAATGCCTTGTTGATGCCAGAGGTCAGAGGAGAATGGCCAGACTGGTTCGAGCTGATAGAAGGGCAACAGTGACTGAAATAACCACTCGTTACAACCGAGGTATGCAGCAAAGCATTTGTGAAGCCACAACACGCACAACCTTGAGGCGGATGGGCTACAACAGCAGAAGACTCCACCGGGTACCACTCATCTCCACTACAAATAGGAAAAAGAGGCTACAATTTGCAAGAGCTCACCAAAATTGAACAGTTGAAGACTGGAAAAATGTTGCCTGGTCTGATGAGTCTCGATTTCTGTTGAGACATTCAGATGTTAGAGTCAGAATTTGGCGTAAACAGAATGAGAACATGGAACCATCATGCCTTGTTACCACTGTGCAGGCTGGTGGTGGTGGTGTAATGGTGTGGGGGATGTTTTCCTGGCACACTTTAGGCCCCTTAGTGCCAATTGGGCATCGTTTAAATGCCACGGCCTACCTGAGCATTGTTTCTGACCATGTCCATCCCTTTATGGCCACCATGTACCCATCCTCTGATGGCTACTTCCACCATGTCACAAAGCTCTAATCATTTCAAATTGGTTTCTTGAACATGACAATGAGTTCACTGTACTAAAATGGCCTCCACAGTCATCAGATCTCAACCCAATAGAGCATCTTTGGGATGTGGTGGAATGGGAGATTCGCATCATGGATGTGCAGCCGACAAATCTGCGGCAACTGTGTGATGCCATCATGTCAATATGGACCAAACTCCCTGAGGAATGCTTCCAGCACCTTGTTGAATCTATGCCACGAAGAATTGAGGCAGTTCTGAAGGCAAAAGGGGGTCCAACCCGTTACTAGCATGGGGTACCTAATAAAGTGGCCGGTGAGTATATATATATATATATATATATATATATATTGAAAGGATGCATTAAATGTATTAAAAGTGTCTGTTAAGACATTTATAATATTTAATAATAATATAATAATTAAAAAAAGATTTCTATTAAAAATAAATGCTTTTGAACTTTCTATTCATCAAAGAATCCTGAAAAAATGTATCACTGTTTGAACACAAATTTACACAGCACAACTTTTTCAACATTAATAATAATCACAAATGTTTCTTGAGCAGCAAATCAGGATATTAGAATGATTTCTAATATAAAGGTATAAATATAAAGGAATAGCCCGAACACAGAGACTCGCTCACACACCCTTATTCACAATTATAAAAATATTGCAAAATATTAATATTTAATAAAAACCTCTGTCAGTGCTCTCTTTTTTTAATCTTTATTTGCATAGTATTGATGAGTTTGGCATATACGTAAAATGTATGTAAAACTATAAAAAAAATAATATTTTTTCTTATTATTTCCTCTCTAGTCCTAATGTGTCTCGTCCCTGCACCCCTAAGAGTGACTCTGAACTGCTTTGTGAAGGTCAGCAGGACGATTCGGACATGTTGTGGTCCTGGGGGGAGTTACCACAAGTTGCCAAGGTCAGAATTATCCTAAAATCCAACTCACTGACACATTAACCCAACTAACAGCAACTATACCGTCAATGTGACTTGAAAGACCCCTCATTTATTAAACTCATACTTACCTCATAATAAAAATGTATTTACAGCCATCGTTTCTGTCAGCGAAACCAAACGTCCTGCCTGCTTCTGCCTCACTGTCAATTCCAGTCTCTGACAACACACATTTCAGAGTCATCCCTGAGACTGCCGCCCATCACCATGACAGCAACAGGACATTACATGCTGATGGCCAATCAAACAGAGCGAAAGAGTTCGAAAAGCAGGATGTGACACCAGCAGCTTGCGTGATGTCTGAGGTTGAGGAGGGAGGAGCAAATACTGGACCCCGCCCACAAAATAAGACTAAAAGAAAAGGTTATACTGCATAATTTTGGGGTTAAAATTCAGTTAGCCTTGTTTTTTTGTATTACTTAATTTATGGTGTTTTGTGTGTACTCGTGCAGATAAGAAAAGTCGCCATCTGGGTTCTGATGGCGTGTATTTGGATGATATAAAGGATTTGAAGCCGGAGGTGGCGGCACTTTACTTCCCTAAAATGTTTGTCATCCCAATTTCACCTCTCTATAAGGCTGTATTAACCCTGTAAAGCTTGACATATGAAATAATAGTTAGAAAAATATATATTTTTTAAATGGAATAGTATGGAACATAGACAAAATATTTTTAAAAAGTTATTTTTTTTATAAAGAAAGTTTTCAGTATCATATTTAATGCATCAGGCTTTTATAGCTCACATACTATGATGTAATTAAAATATGGAGCTCATACTCAAGGAGGAAAAATGTATTTAGAGGCCCAATCTGAGAAAGAACTTGGTGCATATTTTTATGGCCAAAAAGTAAGATGAAATTTGGATAGCTTTAATGTAATTCAATGAGATCTTTATAACTGTTGCATATACATATCAGCTGTTACTCTATATCTCCTAATAATGTCTTAGTAAGATGATATTTATATGCTTAGTTTTATGATCAAAGTTATGTTTTTATATTATGTGGGCAAAATGTAATGCAATGCAACATGATGATTGAGAGAGTGATAGAATATGATAGAGTCGGGTTTATCAAATATGTGTATGCTTGATTGACTGCTTATATCAACAATGTAACACTGTATTGCTTGTTTTTGTGTTTTCTCAGTGGTTCAGAGCGCTTGGGTGAGAACGGTGTCCGCAGTGTGACCGCGTCTCCTCAGTCTATGTGCAGCTCAGGAGCAGACAGCGGAGTGGACAGTTACGACCTTCCCACTATGGCCATCTCTCTCTGTGGAGGCCTCACAGAAAACAGAGAGATCACTAAAGGTGCACAGACTCGCTCACAAACAGCACTGCACATTAATTATGTACAACAGGAGTCAGGACTACTTGCTTGAAATGCATTCATTAAGCATTCAGGACTGCATTTGCGTACGTGCGTAGAGTATCTGTCTGGCCTTAATCTTACATTCACTCAAACTAATACATATGTATGCATTGCTATTGATTTACTGTCCTCTCTCTCTCTTATTCAGAGCATTTCCAGCAGAAGTCTGTGTCTTTTCAGCAGTTTGCTGATAATCCATCCATCATTGATGACCCTAATCTGGTGGTGAAGATCGGCTCTAAGTGAGGTTCACATTACTGTAATCGATTCTCATCTCATTTGTCTTGGACTGAAAATAACAGCTGCTATTTTTGCAGGTATTATAACTGGAGCACTGCTGCTCCTATTATGCTGGCTATGCAAGCCTTCCAGAAACCATTGCCTAAGGTACACACACACACTATATAGAGTCTCTCTTTCTCCAGTAACATTTGGAAGTCCGATTCATTTTAGCAAATCAATTAATTCAGATGTTTTATTTCAGCGAACTTGTTCAAACAACTGATTCAGTGATTAATTTGACTCACTCAATAGTTCTCCCAGAAGTCCCTGTGCAGCATTTTATGACTGTTTTTGTATTGAAATAAATATTTACTTAATACCGGTATCACTTATATAAATTATTTAATCACATATAAAATGATGGACGATACAGATAAACTGATTATTTTAATGCAATAAACAAAAAAATAAAAATGAAAATGGATATTCACTTTGAGATTTTTCTATAAAAATAACATTTAAAAGCCATGACATGATTTTTAAAATTATTTTGATATGTTCCAAGTATTAAAAATAGGGGAAATGAGCATGCACTTATAAATATCTAAATATCTAATATTGTCCAATAAAAATAAAATAAAAGGTAAAAATATTAAGCAGCACAAGTTTTCAACGTTGAAAATAATAAGACATGTTTCTTGAGCAGCAAATTAGAATGATTTCTGAAGGATCGTGTGATGTTTTTACTGTATTTTTGATCAAATAAATGCAGCATTGGCGAGCATAAGAGAGTTCTTTCAAAAACATTTTTACCAACCCCAAACTTTTGAATAGTATATTGCAACTGCAAATGACACTTGTAGTTTGACAATCACATATGTAAGATGACTCGCAATGACGCTATTATCAAGTTTTACCATGTTCTCTTGTCCTGTGTATCACCTACCTGTGTGTGTGTGTGTGTGTGTGTGTGTGTGTGTGTTTTAGTTTGCAGGGCTCAGTCATGTCTGTTCTTTGCTGGAGTTTGTTTTCTGTCACCTGCTTAATTTCTTTAGTTCCTCAGTTCGTTGCACTAATTTTTATCAATCACCTTCCCTGGATGAGAGTCCAGCATGTGTTTGAGTCTTTGTGCCTTCAGTTTCTGAGAGTTTATTTTGAGTTTTTCGGTTGTTTAGCATTACGCTTGTGTGCATGTCCCTCACAGGCCACCGTAGAGAGACTTATGAAGGAGAAGATGCCCAGAAACCGAGGAAGATGGTGGTTTTCATGGCGAGGAAGAACAAACAGTGCCAAACCGGTACTCAGTCAAATTTGTACACACATCATCCCCATGGGCTTTGTTTAAAGTGATGCACTGGATGTTGACTTTTGCTTATGTCTTTGTGTTTGCAGGATTCGGCCTCAAGCGGTTCAGCCTGTGCTGCAGGAGACGAAACCATCAAGAACAGGTTCAGATCTGATGCATCCGTCATACGATTTCATCTGAAATTATGTTGCAGTCTGTAATTGTTCATAGGTTTAACCATGTGTTTGTTGACAGACGGAAAGACGAGTCCTCTTCCAGCGATGAAGATCACTTATCTGCCAAACAAACCCCTGTACCTGTTCACACAGACTCCGTCCCCGCTGGAGGAGGCGTGTCCTATCAGAAAACTCTCCGCCTTTCTTCAGAACAACTCGTAAGATTATTGAATTTAATTAAAGGGATAGTTCACAAAAAAGAAAAGAAAAATCTCTCATAATTTACTCTCAAACTCACGCCGTCCCGATGTATATGACTTTCTTTCTTCGGATATACACAAACAAATATTTGTAGGAAAATAATCAGTCTCTGTGAGTCCATAATAATACAAGTGAATGGGTGTTGCTCAGATGATGCTTGAAAAACCACACATAGTGATTGTGGGAGTAATCCATCACTTTTTACTATTGTCTATTGTCATACGATCACGAGGCGTGCGTTGTGATGGGTTGTGATGTGTGACATAAGTGCGTTGTGAAGTTTGCAAGAGAAGTAACGTGATTTATAGTTAAACAAGTAAAAAATATGAGTATTTTTCTTACACACACCTGTCATTTCATCCACTGGGGTCGTATGGATTACTGTCATGATTGCTGTGTGTGGTTTTTCAAGCGTCAACCGAACAGCACCCCTTCACTAGCATTATATAGACTCTCAGAGACTGATTATTTTCCTAAAAAATAGAAGAAAGAAAGTCGTATACATCGGGTGGCATTAGTGTGAGTAAATGATGAGATCATTTTTATTTTTAGGTGAACTATCCCTTTAAGAAACAAACTAACATTATATGTTTTATAATAAAAAAAATGTAAAAAAATTTTTTATTTAATAAGATTTTTTACATTCTTCAAAATGAGTGTTTAGAATAAATGAATTATCTTTTGGTAAATTTGAACAGATTTAATGCCACACTAAATACAGGGCTCTCAAGTGTCACGCATTGAGCATGACAGTCACTCATTTCGGTCTTTTGTCACGCTCTCCCGCCACACATTGTATTTCTCACGCTGAAAAACTATTTATAATATATTTAATATGCCGCAGCGGCCAAAATTTCTCTGGCCGCGTCGCTCTCGCTATGGAACCGGCAAGAATCAAGCGCGTCTTCCCTGCAGTTCTTAGTCGAGCCTGCCACTTATCAGCCAATCAAAAAAAAAAGAAAGGGGCTACACAATAGCCAATCAGAAAATAGGACTATTGTATCTGGGTAAGATTCAAGATAAGTCATGATCTCCTGTTTTAATGTTACAAAAAATTCACAACTTGTTTGACCCAAACATTAGAGAATGTTTGAGAATGTACAGTGTAGAGATGTCACTCTTGCCTGTCTTTAAAACTTGAGAGCCCTGTATATACTACTAAAAAACGATTACATTTAAGTCCAAAACAATAATAAACAGCAGTATTTTGCTATAAAACAGAAGACTTGGAATTTCATGCAGAATTTGAATCAGTGACTCATTCGAATGAACCAATTCAGTAGAATGAATCAGACTTTTCAAAACTACATATGAGAAAAGGGCAGTTTAGTAGATGGTATACGGAAGCGTATTGCATTCACTTGAAGAAAAAAAATCTACTCTGTTTTTCTGAATTAACGAGTTAATTATCTCAGAATTACGAGAACATTTTTCACGAAAAAAAAAGTTTTTGCTCTGTTTTTCTGAATTAATGACTTAATTATCTCAAAATTATGAGTAACTCATTAATTCATAAAAACAGAGTGAAAAAAAATGTTTTTCAAGAAAAATGTATCTCATAATTCTGAGATAATTAACTCGTTAATTCAGAAAAACAGAGCAAAAACTTTTTTTTCATGAAAAAATATCTTGTAATTCTGAGATAATTAACTCGTTTATTCAGAAAAACAGAGTAGATTTCTTTTCTTCAAGTGAATGTAATACGCTTCCGTAGAATTGCACACACTCACACCCCAACACTGATTGTGACAGAGTGTGTTTGTCTGCTGTAGATCAGTCTGCAGCTAAAGGACGGCCTTAATGACGTGGTGTTCAGTGTGACGACTCAGTATCAGGGCACATGCCGCTGTGAGGGAACCATCTACCTGTGGAACTGGGATGATAAAATCATCATCTCAGACATCGATGGCACAATCACCAGGTGCATAATCATGAACATAATCGTAATCTTACACAATAATACATCGAATCGCTTTACGTTAATGTTCTTCTTTCATAGGTCAGATAAGTTGGGGCATATTTTGCCCACACTGGGTAAAGACTGGACCCATCAGGGCATCGCACGTCTGTATCATAACGTCAGCCAGTAAGAGACCACAACTGTTTCTCTGATTTTCTGCTATATCATCAGGATGAAGATTGAAATACTTGTGCATGTTTTACAGGAATGGTTATAAGTTTCTGTATTGCTCAGCGAGGGCGATCGGTATGGCGAACATGACACGGGGTTACCTGCACTGGGTCAATGAGAGAGGAACCATGTTACCACAGGGACCCGTTTTACTGAGTCCCAGCAGCCTGTTTTCAGCACTGCACAGGTGATTACACACACTCACACACTGCTTCATTCACTATATATCTGACGACATCCCATTGACTTCTTTTGCTTTTACATTAAGCTTATTCCATCTTCATGTATTCAATTAAAAATAAAACACTTAAAAAAATTCTTTCTTTACAGAGTTAGAAGTCTTTACCTCAAATTTAAGGTCATAAACAGTCTTAAATATCTTAAATTGTATAAAAAATGTCTTAAAGGTGCAATGTGTAACATTTTTGAGTATCTATTAACAGAAATGCAATATGACATCCATAACTATGTGTTCAGTGGTGTATAAAGAACTTACTTAATAAACCGTAATGTTTTTATTACCTTAGAATGAGGCATTTATATCTACATAGGCGCGGGAATCCCCTTCTATGAAGGTCGCCATATTGTGACGTCATGTTTCTACAGTAGCCGACAGCAAACAAACAGCGTTACAGAGCGCGTTTCGACACTAGTCACACCGTGAGTAGTGACTTTTCCCTTGTCAGTGGTGTAAATATGTAGTTGGATTGTTTCATGTAACTTAATTCTTCTCCCTCGCTGTGTTATGGCTTTGCTATGTGGGGATAAATGTGCTGGTTAAGTTCGTGAGACAGCTGATTAGTACTCTTGTCATTGACCGTAAAACAGTTACAGGAATCACCAAACCGTCGATCTTGGAAGCATTTTAAGTCGATCGAGTTTCCAAAATCAGAGAAAAAAAGCCTATTGTGTGTAGTAAATGGTGTCTAGGGGATGCGGAGGCGCACGCGCTGTTACAATCACATCATTTTTGCCGCACGCACCTTTGGGCTCATGCGGACACGTCAGGTTTAAACAAGGCTTAACGCTTTAACCAGCTCAGCCTCAGTAACAGCTCATATTAGCCAGCTAAACTTTTACTACCCTGTTAGAAAACATATATAGTTGCATAGTTTCATGTGGTTCTTCTCCCTCGTCGTATTATGGGTTTGCTATGTGGGGAGAAATGTGCTGGTTATGTTCGTGAGACAATCAGCTGATTACTATTATTATATTATATATTAAGACCCTTGATCCTCACCTGAAACTTTATCCATGATGTGGTTTATAATGGACTGTGGTACAGAAACTTGGTTTACGCTGGCTATTCTCTGCTGTCTCAGACGACGATGTTTGTCCCGTTTTAGCCACCGTAGCTTCTTCGAAAGGGAGGGGTGAGCGGTGGGCTGAGCCCTTAGTGTAAACTCGCAACCGAACCGCTAGATGTCGCTAAAAGTCACACACTGCACCTTTAAATCAAATATTTAAATTTTGGGAATAAGAAAACAGGAATCACGACATGGCCTAATATGATTATTAAACTTCAAAAGGCAATGATATAATTTAATAAATGGGAGCGCAGCACGTTCAAAGTCACTGTCACACGGCACTGTTCTGGCTTCAGATCAGTATGCAATCAATGAATACAGTTCATTCTTTGCTTATGATCTACTGTTGATGAATTATGACAATGTTTAATTTATGGCTTTTATTTTGAAATATGTTGTAGATGTTTGTAAGAGTGCATATTTCGGCTGCGTGTGAACTTTGGTAGCTGACTTGTTGCCTCGCTGGCTTATCAGGCAATGACTTTGTAGACAGCGTTTACGCACGATGTTACCTCACGATACTAACTTCTGAGGCAGAGTAACGGTTTAATGATCTACAGCAAAATAGAGAGCTTTAGTGAAAACTAAGCACATATTTAATTACTACAATAGTAAAACGTTGGTCAAAAACGTACATTTACACACAAACTGACCAACAACCGCAACTTTCAGACGCCATCTTTATTTTCCATCTTAACTGTCACAGAATGGAACGCACAGGATTGTGGGATATCAAAGGCAGCGAGGGATACATCTATGCTGCCTTCAATAATCGATCATATGAAGGTATCTCAGGAGACAGGAAGTGACACTTACATTGGATTCGGACGTGCTTTGGATTTGAAGGCAGCATTTTTAAGCTTTCGGAGCGGCCAGCATCTACCTCATCTTTTTGAATGAGCAGCTGAAGTAGTAAACTTAAGCATATACATTTCAAAATAAGGGTCCCTGTGTATTTTGGGCATATTTATAATCTAAAGTAACGCATTATGCATAAAATATTATTTCTGGATATTATCTTTATTTTGGTAACACAATACACTGCATCTTGCATTTAACACATTCAACATGTATATTTTACGAGTATTGGCACAATAATCTTTTTTTAATGCCTTTCTATAAACGCATTATAATTATATCAGCAAAATTCAATATCAATAATTTATATGTATGGATATAATTGTACATAAACTAGTTTCAATGCATGTATAAATTGAAGAAGATTGCAGTTACCCTGTTTCAGTGTTTTATTACAATTTTATTTGGAATTAGCTTTTATTTTATTTTTATTTTTTTCATTTTAGTTTAATTTTTAGTCATTTTGTTTTTGATTAGTTTTTATGTTTATTTATTTATTTTTTAAATATGGCTTTTTAGCTATAATTTTATTTTATTTTATTTCAGTTTTAGTTTTAGTTAGTTTTATTTTTTATTAATTTCCAGTTCATAATTTTAGTGTTTCAACTTAAACTTATTTTAGTTTATTGCCAAGGAAACATTTCTAATTTAAATTTTTCAAATAATATTTATATTATATTTTATTTCAGCTTTATGTCAATTAACCGAAATGTTTTTTAATAGTTTTAATTTTAGTTAATGATAATACCGTAACCTCAGCCTGTTTAATTAAGCAAAAGAACCTGCGATACATGATTTACTTTGAGATTGTATGGATTTGTTCTGCATGGACATACAGTATTGATTATATTTATGCTGGTCTGATACCCAAACCCAAATAAAGGACCTCTGCATAACAAATTTAAGTGACACTGCAGGGTGTCTGAAATGTTCCTCTCAACAAAAACATATGCACATACACACTCTCTCTCTCTGCTTTTCAGGGAGGTGATCGAGAAGAGGCCGGAGAAGTTCAAGGTGGCGTGCTTGACAGATATTAGGAATCTGTTCCTCCCAAATACAGAGCCCTTCTACGCAGCGTTCGGGAACAGAGACACCGTGAGTGAACACGAGAGACGATGAGAATGCAAGAAATTAGCAATAAATTGGTTCATTGGTCATCATATCAGCCATAATAAACATAATTATTAGCTAACATATCAGTCAAAATGGTTTGCATACCTAATAAAGATGCCTGTAGGTGATCTGTGACGTGTAGTTTTGTAATCTGTATTTTGTAATGTGTCTGTAGGATGTGTTTTCCTATAAGGAGGTGGGTGTTCCCTTAAACAGAATATTCACTGTCAATCCTAAAGGAGAACTGATCCAGGAACATGCCAAGACCAACATCTCATCGTGAGTACACACTACTGACCAGTGTTGGGGAAGCTCCTTTAAAACTGTCGTTTGTCAAGATACGAGCTACTCATAAGACAAGCTACTTAAAAAATAATATATATATATATATATATATATATATATATATACAGTATATAGTTATCTATACTAGAAGCTACTAACAAAAAGTAGTAAACTGTCTCACTGGGGAGGGAATGCTGATGTTATAGCTTTTTATCCTTGGCACAGGAGATCCAAGAGGATTTTGTCAGCTCAACCCCTTAGACGTAAAATATTTACTTAAAGTACCCCTGAGATTTTAAGTTAAGTTTCAATTTAACGACACATTTGGATATTCACGGTTCTTTGATGATGGTCACATGACATTCAAGTAAGTATAAAAGATTTTTAATCTTGCTTTGTCATTTTTTTGTTTTATTTTTAAAAATATTTAAATGAAATTATTATTATTAGTTTTTAACTAATTAAAACAATTATATATTATAAAAAACGTGCAAGTTTTTGCAAAGTAATAATTATAACAATAACTTTATTTTACACTACAAGTTACAATACTAAAGTTTATGTCTTTAATTCTTTACTTTCAAATGCTTAAACCCTTGCGCTTACAACATTTCAAATCCTGTAGCTTTTATTTTGGCGGAATACTGGGGAAACTACGGTAAAGTTACCGCAATTACAATATTTCAACTTGTAAAAAGTGTTCACATCCTCATAGAGATCGTAATTACAACTTTTAAGCTGGGAATTTTCCGAAAGCTCCTACTTGTACCACCTGACCTCTGCAGATTCGTTCAGGCGTTGATAGTGTTGTCATATAAACACATAACAGCACAGAGTAAAACCTCACGTGTTGTCATCGTGAAATTACAGTAATTACGACATGGCGTGAACGCAGCATAAAATCCCGTCCACAAAAATGTTGGAAATTATGCAAATATAAATAAATAGAACCTAGCATACATTGCGTTGCCAGAAAATAAATAAGTGAAATGTTATTTGAAGTGGTTAATTTACTGTAAATAAAGCATCCAAACAAACCAATTCACTAAAAAGAATCGATGCTTGATATGAGAGAGAGCGCTTAAGATGAGATGTTACATTATTACCTCAGTTTGCTGGTTTGTAAAGCTGTGCGCACAGTACACTGACTAAAATCAACATTGTAGCACACACACCACCACTGCTATTTCTGAAAAAACTACTTTGTTATGAAAACAGCTGAACTACAGTAGTCACACTACTGAGAAAGCCAGTGTGTGTTAGGGAAGAGCGGGGCACAATGTAACGCTTTTTTTTACTTTCTCAGTTTGTGTAAATCTACTTAGGGTTTAGAGTATTTATTTTTTCCCACATTAATTTCCCACATGTCTAGTACAATTATGTGGTTTTGTTTTATTAATACAGTGTATACTTTTTTCTTAATTTACCCCGAAAGAATGGAAGTGAAATGTGACAACATGCCCCATAGGTGGGGTACATTGTAACATGTGAGGGGCACATTGTAACATCACCATATGACAGCTTAAAATGCTATCTGATCTAATAAAAAAAATATACAATTCAAACCAAAATATTTTCTTAATAAAATACAATTATTAACTTTTTCATATAAAATAATGGAATTTTTAAAAAATTAAAAATAAACAAATTTTGGAGTTTGACAACAAACACACCGGAAAACACTGCTATACAGCATAGTTCAAAACAAAATAATAATTAATCATTTCTAAACATTGACTCTTAGTCTTTATTTAGATGTTTCTCATGTTTTCTCAATAGAATTCATAAAAGTATAGAATATAATAGCATATTTCTAATAGGGGCATATTGTAACGCAGTGTTACAACATGCCCCAACTGCACAACTGGGGTTTAAACCCTGCTAGTGTCTTCTGCTAGTTAGCGTAGCATTAAATAACTATATCAACTGTTAAACAACAGATTTTAGATTAAAATAATTTGTCTAATTTTAAATAAACACAAAAAATAGAGATGAAAAATTAACTTAAGAAATGTACTTTTGCTATGGTTAAATAAATGTTCAGTTGTATCTTACAAAGATTTCTGAATTTTGGCGCAATTTGTTCTCTATATAGTGTTGAAATGGCAACTAGTAAATACACCAAGTTTCGTCATGCTGGCATGTGTGGAAGTATTTAAAACAAGGGTGTTACAACTAGCCCCGCGTTACGTTGTGCCCCGCGCTCCCCTACTGCTTTCATTAGTTACTCCCTCGGTTAGCACTGCTACTGACTGTGTCTGTGTGATTAAATGCTTGATATGAATAAGTGTGTCAGCTGTGGTTTACCTGTGCAGGTACGTGCGTCTGGGCGAGGTGGTGGATCACGTCTTCCCGCTCCTGAAGCGCAGTAGTTCGTGTGACTTCCCCTGCAGTGACACCTTCAGCCAGTTCACCTTCTGGAGAGAACAGCTCCCTCTCATGGACGGGCAGATAGCGAGCACTATCAACACCACTCGCTGAACAGCTGCACGGATCTGCTCACGACATCGCGTGTGGACGCTCACATAAACGCCACAGGACGCAGAAATACAAATACAACAGACACAGGCTAATAACCAAAACTGAACATAATCAGTGCAAACATGAAAAATCACTCGCAAAATTCATGTGTGGGTCTCTCGACCTCAGAAAAAAAAAAGCACTTTCTTTCAAAAAAGTCTTTACATGTCATTTGTGATTTATAGTATATTGTACTAAACTTTTTTTTAAATGTACCTTTTCAGTTTGGCTTGTGATCACAAGCTTTGTGTTGAAAAGCATCTGTTAATATATGAATGAAACTGAATAATGTTACATTTCACACAATTTGAAATATCCAGGTCAAATTTCACTCCAAAATCATTATTTTGCAAAAAATAAAGTAAAAATTATATATATACAGTATATATATAGCATTTAGTGACAATTAACCACCTATTTATTTACTATAAGGTTAATGGTCCAAAAACACAGTTTTTTCTTTATGCAAAATATGACCCAGACGTTTCTTGAAAGTTTCTGTTAGATCGACAATTTTATTCTCTGAGAAATGAAAAAAAAAACAGCGAAAGAGAGAATATAGGATATGTTACATTTCTTTATTTTTTAATGGATAATTGAACTCATTGAACATAGAACATAGAATTGAACATGGTACCTTTTTGTTAATGTAGCCTACTTTATGTAACGTTTTTCTGCTGTCATATCACAGCTGTATTATGATATTCCTGCCTTCATATGATTTTAACCAGCACTTTATGTGTTAAATTAAGAAAGATATGCTGTTATATTTTCTTATGAATTAATAATCATATCCCTGCATGGGTTTCTTCCATTTTATTATGGTTTCAATGAGGTTTAAAGATTTAGATATTTAGTTTATGAGACAGACGTAGTTTAAATAAATGAATTGTAGCATGATGCTGTTGATATAACTAGTTTTTGCCCTTTTATTGAAATTTATTTTCAGTTATTAGTTCCAACTATAGAACTAGAGAGTTTTGGGGGGGTTTTTCCCAGATTTTCTTTCAGTGAAAGAGCAGTTGTTCCGATTTTCAGGTGATTCTTCTTTGAAGGAAAATCCATTTGTTTCGATCTTCAATAAAATACTGCAGGAAATACACCGTGTCATTCATCATTTAATGCCTCAGTTTATTTAATTTATCGATAAATGAATATATCTGAGGTTTGAACAGTAAATATTTATTACCTTCCATTTTATACAGGTGCTGAAATTCCTCACCATAAGATCAGAATGAGCTTAAACCAGGTCAAAACACAATGGCAATTGTGATCTGCCAAAGTAAAAGTTTTAAAGTGTTTTATATCCCTTTTAATTCCCTTTTATATCGCTTTTATTTTGTCATTCTTTTCTGTGTAAAGCACTTTGAATTACCATAGTGTATAAAATGGGCTATATAAATAAACTTGCCTTGCCTAAAGCTCATCAATAATAAAATAGCATTCATTCATTCATGGAAGTTTTTCCACAATTAAAATTAAAATGAGTTTTAATTAGATTTTTGATACAGTTCATGCTTTCCCGAATGAGGAAAATAAAATTGCATTTGAGCATTTGATTTATCATTTGAGCAGCCATACTGAGAGTTTGATTTATTATTTAATGATTTAACATTTGAACAGATGTTTTGAGACTTTGATTTATTATTTTATATTTTTAAGCATTTGAATTTGAATTTTGTTAGGAAAAAACTTCCATACATTTAATCAAATCTTTTATAAAAGTAATGTTCACTGTATTATTTCGTTCATTTGTGTAATAAAAACTTATTATCTTTGAGAGATTGCTTAAAGCTGGAGATTATTGGGGGTAACAGGTCACGCGACAGGAGGCGTTCCTGCGGTGCGCGCGCTCATTGGTTCTGGGCTCCGGTCCGAGTGTCGGTCGGTGGGTTCAGTAACGGACTCTGATGTCAGAGGATGGGGAGAAGAACACCTGCTTCTGCGTGGGACATGGAGCGCTTGGTATGAACAAACGAACATGATATGTCTGTTGTTAAGTTATGTTTGTGTATTTATTTAGTCCGGACGTGCATTATAATACTGTGCACACTGAGAGCGACACAACGCAACAGAACTAACGTTAGCTGCTACGTTACCCCTCTCAGTCACTCATTATAATCAACGAGGGACGCTTGGAGTGTAACGTTACATCTTCGGTGATTACAATAGCCATCTAATTATGTTTTTGTTGCTTTGCTGTATGAACTCGGTGTGACAAGTGTTTTTGTTTCGCTTTCTTTATTGAAAGACACGGAAAACGAGCAACAAAACAACACAGTAAACGTTAAAAACTTAACGTTAGCAACATTACGCAGGACGCGCTTTTTCAAAATAATTCGCCTCAATTGAATATATATCATTTAGGTACATTTTTTTATCAGCTTTTAGAGGTTATTGTTATAATTTGTCGTGATTTACTTCATAAAATCGCGCTGCTCAAGTCAGTTTAACGGTTTTTCGCACGTGAGATAAGTTATTTTTATAAGCTCGTGTCTCGTGAGCCCATTCACAAAGTTAAAATAGTAAGAATAATCACAATTTTATTATTATTATTTTGTTTTTGTTTTATCCCTGCGCGTCCTTATGGACATTTGTTTTGGGATCATTTCGCCTGTGTTTATGCTAATTGCCAACAGCATACATTTTGGCACACTTGTGTATTTTATTGGAAATTTTACTATTTAACCCCCATTTCCTTTAATAAATCTATTTTACACTAGGTACACAAAAATAGCTACTCTTAGGACCTTAATGTCCCCATTGAAACCTTGATATACACTCATGACTCATGGGGACTGTCACCGTGGGGACCGAAATTGAGGTCCCCATGAGGAAACAAGATTGTAAATCATACAGAATGAGTTGTTGTTTTGTTGAAAATGTAAAAATGCAGTTTTCTGTGATGGGTAGGTTTAGGGGTAAGTGTAAGGGGAGAGAATATTCAGTTTGTACAGTATAAAAACCATTACGTCTATGGAGAGTCCCCACAAAGATAGTAAACCAGATGTGTGTTGGAAAAAAACTGCAAATCATAAATCCAACCACTCAGCTTTGCTGGAGCTTTACTGGCATCTAATGGGGAAAATTTGGTACTGCACCCAAACAAAATCTTACTGAAAGAGATATCAACCTCAAATTTGGAACACAACTTTATGCCTTTGATGTTTTTGCAGTTTTTGAGTTCAACATGTTTTATTAAATATCTGACCCTGGACCACAAAACCAGTCACATGGGTCAATTTTTCTGAAATTGAGATTTATACACCACATGAAAGCTGAATAAATAAGCTTTCCATTTATGTATGGTTTGTTAGGATAGGACAACATTTGGCCGAGATACAACTATTTGAAAATCTTTTGTTTGCGATTGTGCTGCATTCACTCACAAAAATAAATGTTTTATATATTTACGGTAGGAAATTTACAAAATATCTTCATGGAACAAGATCTTTACTTAATATCCTAATGATTTTTGGCATAAAAGAAAAATCGATAATTTTAACCCATACAATGTATCGTTGGCTATTGCCACAAATATACCCGTGCGACTTGTGACTGGTTTTGTGATCCACGGTCACATATATGTTTTATATAAAATATTGTTCATAAATAAATTTCATAAACTTAAACCTCTATAGCTTTTTGTGTCACTTTTTTTTTTTTTTACATTTTTTTTTTTACATGTCTGCTCCAAAGAGTTTTCTGACATGGACATTTTTGTCCCCTAAGGACCTCAGACAGAGTAACTTTTTAAAATCAATGCACAAGGGTTAAAAAAAAAGTAGACAAATACAAATACGCCCCACAAACATTTTTGAAAACTCTTATTCAAATGGTTTTGTCTTCGTATAAAAAAGGCGTTCTGTTGATGTTTCGAGTCAATTTACTGCCATTTAGATAATTTTTATCAAAATAATGTTAATTTTTAGCCATTCAAGTATGTAAACTGCACATAACCTAAATGTAACCAAAATACAATATACAATACAATATATATAAATACAATATTTAGCTTCCTTGTTGATTGAACAAGCAATATTGTGTGTATTAGAGTGCTGAAGCACTGAGTGCAGAACCTGATGACTTCTTTGACATTTTGGAGGAGAGGAGGCGGAGCAATGACTTAAGCCACGCCCTGCGGACCTTTAACCCTCAGCCGTACCGTGGAGCCACACCCATTTCAGCTGCTGCTCTCAACAGGATGGTGCTTGAATCCCAGTACCTGAGCTACATCATACAGGAGGTGAGAGAGAAAGAGTGAGATACAGTAGTTATGAAAGGAAGATGTCATAGCAGTTTTTGTTCACTGTTTCTTGCTCACGCTCACAGATCGTGGTCGAGTGCGATGAACCGCGTGAGGCAGTTCTAGAGGAAGCGTCTGCGTTACTGGACGAGATGAGTCAAAACCTTCAGCTGGGATTCATTCGACTGCTGGGCTTCGCAATGACCAAAGTTTTTAAAAGCGTGTTCAGCTCTATACATGTCAACGAGGAGGGACTCACACGTGTTAGTGTTTTTCTGTCCTATTAAAGGGTTAGTTCACCCAAAAATGAAAATGATGTCATTAATGACTCCCCCTCATGTCGTTCAAGCCCGTAAGACCTCCGTTCATCTTCGGAAGAGTTTAAGATATTTTAGATTTAGTCCGAGTTTTCTGTCCCTCCATTGAAAATGTATGTACGGTATACTGTCCTTGTCCAGAAAGGAAATAAAGATGTCATCAAAGTAGTCCATGTGACACCAGGGGGTTAGTTAGAATGTTTTGAAGCATCGAAAATACATTTTGGTCCAAAAATAACAAAAACTACGACTTTATTCAGCATTGTATTGTCTTCCGGTTCTGTTGTCGAGCCGCGTTCACGAGTCCGCAGTGACGCTGCTGACGTAAGACGCTGCTGACGTGTGTCTGGTGCGTCCGTGTATTCGGGTTCAAATAAATATGGCTGGGCAAAAAAATGCAAGTCTTCCTCTGTGTGGACATCCTTAGACATGTTTGTGAAGATT